TCCCCTCTCCATCTTCTCCTTCTGAGCAGGAGACGCGCCAAACTCTGAGCACCACTTGGATGGGGGTGGGAGAGGGAGCTGCCTCACCCCCGGCTCCCACAATGGCCCAGAACAGACTTTGCTTGGACCCCTACCCTCTGGCGCCCTCTTTCCCCCTTAGCTCCATTTGGTCCGCCTGTGAATTGCCTTTCCATTCGGCCATCAGAGAACCAGTCCCATTCCAGGCCCCGTCCTGTTGTCCTGGCACAACACAATCCCGACCTCGCTGTCAGTTAGGAGGAGAGGAAGCCAAATGTGGTGGTCTTAGCTCTTCCCATTTGAAAGCAGTTCTTGCACAGACAGACAGACAGACAGACAGACAGACCGGTTCCCCCAAATTTGCAGTAGATTAGATACCAGGCTGCTGACAGCTATTTGCTAAGTGAACTGCCAACCTCCCCCGCCAAACCCCTAGAGTTTTCAAGTGCCTTAGCAGCTCCTGGAAAGAGGGTGACGTACGTAGGTGAGGATGGGGGGGGAATACGGGTGCCCGGTGTGTAAGGCAGGGGAAGGGCTTTGCCTTCCCAAACCACCAGCCTGGCCCCCCAGAATGCCTGCTGTGGGCACACGGGGAGGAGGGTGGAGTGAGGTTGCCCGCATGCAGGGGGCAGGAAAGGGCGGGGCCTCAGCAGGAGGGGCGTGGCTGGAGGTGGGGCCGGGGGCTTGCCTCCCCTAGCCTTGCCCGACCCCCCGTGGAGCGGGTCGAAAGGACCAGGACGGTTCCTGTCTGTGCAGCCCATTTCTCGGAAGAGGAAAGTGAACCCTAACTCTTTCCTCCCTCCTGGGGTGAGTCGGGGAACGAGGTCAGGAGCATGTGTAGGCTCTTGCCCAACGCTCTGCTGATCACATCACCACACGCACGGATTCTGTCTGGGTTTTAAGCGCTTTTATTGACTGGATGCCAGGATGGAAGGCGTGAGGAATAACATCTAGTATGGCAACCCAATGACTTATGCAGGTTACTTAATCTACACTAACGATTTGGCAGAGAAACAGCCGGGAAATACTTATCTGTTCAACATCAGAGCGCACAGGCGTAACCTGGCGGAGAGTTCCGTCGTAAACTATCACGTTGATTTCATGGGCAAACAAGTTACTAAGTCAGCCCCATTATGGGAGAAGGTCTCTGCAAAGATCAGAGCAATACCTGCTCAAAATCCCGCCATGGACAGCGTCGCTATCATTGGGCTCCAACAGAAAGATGCAGAATTCAATCGGTTGCTTAACGTTGGCAAAGTAAAATCATAGAATCATAGGACTGGAAGGGACCTCGAGAGGTCATCGAGTCCAGCCCCCCGCCCTCAAGGCAGGACCAAGCTCCGTCTACACCATCCCTGACAGATGTCTATCTAACCTGTTCTTAAATATCTCCAGAGAGGGAGATTCCACCACCTCCCTTGGCAATTTATTCCAATATTTGACCACCCTGACAGGTAGGAATTTTTTCCTAATGTCCAATCTAAACCTCCCCTGTTGCACTTTAAGCCCATTACTCCTTGGCCTGTCCTCAGAAACCAAGAGGAACAAAATGATGGACGATCTTTAAAAATTCATATGGCACAAAAGGAAGGTGGGGATGAGCGTGTATCTCTTGCCGTTCTAGCAATACCCAGGGTCGTCCAACAGGAATTGATTCTAGTTGCCCATATGCAGGGATACTCTGCAGTGGAAAAGACTTTAGATCAGTTACTCACAGTGGGACGGTGGCTGATCAATATTAGGGATTAGCATTTGATTAATAACTGCCTTCCAAGTGCTGCCCACAATCGAGATCATCATATCCAAAAGGAGCTTTGAAACATGAAAAGGAAACGGGCCCCTGGAATAGAGTTTAAATGGACTACATAGGGCCCCCACCAAAATCACAGAAAAGATCACAGTCCTTGTTTAGCCATTACAGATGCATTTTGTAAATGGTTGGAAGCTTATCCCACTCACAAATGTACTGCCTGCCATACCGGAAAATTAGTGTTGGAAAATGCATTCAGCAGGTTTGGGTTACCTAAGACAATTGACTCAGAAAGAGGTAGTCATTTGACTGGAGAGGACTTCAGACAGGTGTGTGCGGCCGTGGAAATCTGACAGACATTCCGTATCGAAAGGCACCCAGAATCTTCGAGATTGGTGAGGAGAACAAACAGGATATTGAAAAATGCCCTGCGAAAAGTAATCCAATCTATAGAGAAAGATTGGGACATTACGTTTCTTCTGATCTTAATCGCGATCCGATTGACGGTGGGTTCGCTTGGGTTCAGCCCGCATGAAGTGCTGTTCGGATGACCAATGTGCGCACCTGAGAAGTGTTGGTTTCCAGGAAGGTTTCCTCTTAACGAATTCCAACCCAGACACGTAACTGAAATGCAGACATACTTCCCATCTGTATTTCGGAAATACAGAAATCGGTGACAGTTCATTTAAAAAGCAACGTGAAAAGCAGGGACCAACGCTCGCATAAGAATTAACTTTCCAGGAATGGGACCAGGGAGATCCGGTCATGTACAAATCATTTGTGGAAAAGGAACATGTATTAAGTCCTCGTTTCGATGGGATCTGCTAAAATCACCCAAAAAGCAGGGCCCACTTTCTACCAAGTTGTAGTCAATACGGGAAGAAAGACGAAACGGTTAAAATGGTTGCATAGCTCTCAGTTGAAATCCTGGAAATGGGGAGATTTACCAGATTTGGCAAGAGCTGAAAATACGGAGGCCAATGGGAGTCAATCTTCCCATCGACTTCTCTTTAATTGAGGGCACTTTCAACATTCGATGTAGCGTGTCCTTAGAAGACCTCCTAAATCGAATCTCCATCGCTGGAGATATTTAAGAGCCAGTTAGATAGACCTCCGTCAGAGACGGGCTACCTCAGGGGTTTGCAACCTATGGCTCTCCAGCCAAATACAGCTCAGTATGGAGCCAAAAAGGGCACGCGTGTCCTTCCCAAAATACACGTAAATGAAAAATGCAATCAATATTTTCAAAACGCGTGATGTCCGAAAAGTTGCTGCCACACAAATCCCACGAAATGAAGCCTGTGAGGACGTGGTTTCATTTGCGCTCTTATTAATCATCACGTTAATTCTCAATTCTATTGCCTTGGATATTTTCAGTCACGCAAAGGAGCATTCTTAGACGGCGCGTCGTTGACCACCTGTTCTGAATTGTGATGGAGCTCGGCTCTTTGGTTGGAAAAGGTTGCCTACCCCGATCTAAACGGTGCTGGGTCCTGCCGGAAAGGCAGGGGACTGGACTGGATAACCTCTCGAGGTCCTTCATAGTGGTCTATGAACACCAGAAGATCGATCTATGGCGCATAAGTGTAGACATGGCCTCAGGGTAGAGACTTAGACTCCATGACCTCTCAGGGTTCCTTCTAACCCGGGCATGCTAGAATAATTGTTATCATGTGGGCAGGTGTTCAGAGACGCAATCTTTGAATCCTGTAGAAGATAATAACTCCCTCAAGCCAACGGGTGTGGCAACACCCTACAGATCTATCAGCTCTGTCCCACCCTACCTCTCTGTGATTCTCAGAAAAGACAGTCATGCCACTAAGGAATAAAATGACATTTTCCTCAATTAGCCGCCCCACCTCACAACTGTCCCTGGAGTTGGGTGGCTCATCTTTCCTAGGCCGGAGAGAGACAGACCCAGAGAGAGGGGAGGGAAAGCGTCTGGCACTTGTTTACAGCCAGGAGTCCTGACTCCCGTTTCCCCACCCCTCAGCGCTAACCACTAGGCCACACTCCCAGACTGGCACACACACCCCTCCCAGCATTCCCACTTCTCTGGAGTAACTCCCACCATGAATCCCTCATCCTCCAGCCTTCCCCACCAGCTGTAAGGGTACTTACATGTTTGGTGGGTAATGTATGTTTGGTTTGTCACATTGGATAGGACAGGGTATCCGGGTTGAAATCAAAATGGAGGAACTGGCATCCATTTTTTAAAACAACATGGAAGACGAGCCACGTGCCCTGGGTCTGTCCGACCGTGATTATCCCTCCTTTGGCAGGAAACAGGGAAACAAGTTCCATTTCAAACTGGATTTATCTCAGAAGTACATCGCACAGGCTCTGTCTACACTGGCAAGTTATTCCGGAAAATCGGCCGCTTTTCCGAAAAAACTTGCCAGCTGTCTACACTGGCCGCTTGAATTTCCGGAAAAGCACTGATGATATACTGTAAAATCATCAGTGCTTTTCCGGAAAAACTATGCTGCTTCCGTTCAGGCAAAAGTCTTTTTCCGGAAACTCTTCCGGAAAAGGGCCAGTGTAGACAGCACAGTACTGTTTTCCACAAAAAAGCCCCGATCGAGAAAATGGCAAAAAGTGCTTTTCCGGAAAAACGTCCTGCCAATCTAGACGCGCTTTTCCGAAAATGCTTTTAACAGAAAACTTTTCCGTTAAAAGCATTTCCGAAAAATCATGCCAGTGTAGATGTAGCCACAGGGTCTCCCTAGCTGGGGAAGAAGCCGAACACGGTGGTCGGAGCACTTCCCATTTGGGAGGAGTTTTTGGACAGACAGACAGGCAGGCAGACAGACAGACAGTCAGACAGACAGATAGACAGGCTCTCTGAAATACACAGTAGATTAGAGACCATGCTCCTGTCAATTATTTGCTACATGCCAGTGTAGATGTAGCCACAGGGTCTCCCTAGCTGGGGAAGAAGCCGAACACGGTGGTCGGAGCACTTCCCATTTGGGAGGAGTTTTTGGACAGACAGACAGGCAGGCAGACAGACAGACAGTCAGACAGACAGATAGACAGGCTCTCTGAAATACACAGTAGATTAGAGACCATGCTCCTGTCAATTATTTGCTAAATGAGCTGCCAAACCGCTCCCTCCCCCCCCCCCCCCCACACAAAAAAAACCAAAAAGTTTTAAG